GGATGCTTTTCCAGCATGGATATCTGTGTACCACCCATGTTCCTGGTGCTTTTCCTGCATGGATAGATATCTACTACCATACACATGGACACAAGCAAACAGTGAGCCAACAGTTGAACCTAATTGTGCCTTGTCCATGATATAGGCACATGGATGACAGGATTTACTTTACATTCTCAGTAAGACCTACTTTGAGGACAAAAGTGATAGACTTTAAATTCAGCCCAATAGTCTTAACTAGTCATAGTGGTTGGTAGGAATTAAGATTTTCTACCTATAAAGGAAAAATAAGCATAAATTTTCAAAAATTATGTAAAAATGCTCAAATCTGAATCCAAAGAACTGATAAGATCCCTTTTATTTTTCTTCTTCTTCTCCTCCTCCTCCTCCTTCTTTTTGAGGGGAAGAGTTTAAAGCAAGGTTTCTCTGTGTAGACCGGGCTGGCCTTGAACTCACAAAGATCTGGGATCTCTTTAAAAATGTTTATACTGCTTGTCTTAATTACTGTTCTGCTATGAAGAGACACCATATAAGGCAACTTATAAGAGAAAGTGTTTGAGGGCTTGCTTACAGTTTCAGAGGATTAGAGTCCATGGCCATCAGTCTGTGGAGCAAAGTATCAGGCAGGCAGCCACGATGTTGGGGCGTCAGCTGCGAGTTTACATGTGGTGCACAAACAGGAGGCAGAGAGAGCTGACTGGAATAGAGTGGACCTGGGAAACCTCAGAGCCCACCCAGTGACACAGCTTGTCCAACAAGGCCACACCCCCTGTCCTCAATACAGAAGTTTGTGGAGAGTACTCCCCTTCAGACCATGGCACTGTTCTATTCACGGGAGCCAGGATGGAAACGGCCTGGAGGCCTACCAGCTGATGAATGAACAAAACATATGCAATGTTATTTGTCTGTTAATGTGAGGAATTATGAAATTTGTAGGTAAATGGATGGAGCTGGAAACAGCTATTCTGAGTTAGGTAACCCTGATAAAGAAAGACCAATGTCTTGTGTTTTGTCTCACTTGTGGATAATAGCTTTGTATCTCAATATATGTGTTACATTTGGAAACCTGTAGAGGTTAGGAGTCTAGTAAGGAGCCATGGAAACTGTGCTTTCAAGGGAGGAGATAGAACTGTGGGATACAGGGTAATGAACAAGAGAGGTTAGAAATGAGAGGACAAAGAGGAGGAAGGACTATGGGAAGGGATAGCTAACACTGAAGACCTAAACCCCATATGGGAAACACTATAGCGCGTGTGTGTGTGTGTGTGTGTGTGGTTTGAATGGAGTTATCTTGCAGCAAGAGATAATATAACAACTAGGCTAGCAAATAAAAACCCCGTACCAGGGATGGGTTACCTCTTTTTTAGTTTTAGCCAATGGAGTCCCATAGATCCCCAAGCATTGCGGAGACTATTTATTGTCAGTATCCTCAGTTGTCCTCTGGAACTTGATCATATTGCTGAAGACACCACATACTTCACTCATAGAACATGGATAAATCATGCTGATACTTACCTAGAAGCTTCATACCTATTGGCTAAATTTCATGGTTGTGGAGGATGCTATGTGTACTCTCAGAGGAGAATAATAATCATCAGTCACACCCAGCTATGACCCCTGTAAGCTGTAACTGGCCAGACAAAGATGTGGCCACTGGTATAACAATGGCATGAATGTTAAGGGAGTAACCAGCCACTTTCTGCTTAGATCTAAAGTCCACCCTATGAGGTAAAAACCATACCTGGCACTGCTAAAGAATCCATGAACCTGTGCCTAGATAGGCCCTAAGCCCTGGGAGAGAACCCAATACTTTTATTTTGCTGAATGGACATAGTATTAAAACTACTCCTAATAATCTATTGTTATACCCCTGGATATCTCTCAACCCTCATCGGAGAAACTTCTTCTTATAGTAAATGGCAATTAACATAGAGACCCTCA